CTATGTGAAGTAGCATCTCTGTTCTTTTCCTCTCAAACGCTTTTTTGTTCGTATATCAGAACACAACCTTGGCAAGCTGACTTCAGAGTAACAAAGAACAGAAAATTACTTGGTTCTTGCTGAAGAGAATTCTTACTGAAGAAAATTAGAGGGTAAATATAATGGTAAATTTCTATTAAATACAGCCAGAAATAAAAAAGATTTTACACTGCAACCAGTAAAATGTCATCTGATCATAAGGCCTGTCATTCAGCACAAAAGATAAGTAACCACAAGGTGAGATTTTTGGCAGGAAACCCCATGGGCTGTTCAGAACTTTCTGCCTAGGTACATGTTTACAGAAACTTCTTAACGCATCTTTTGTCATGAAATCAGTACATGCTTTGTTTTGAAGGGAGTTGATCTGAGGAGCATAACATGGTATATAACCCCAGTTCTGCAGTAGCAATGGTATGGAGGGGCAGGAGTTCCAGGTTACAGAGTGTGTGTACACTGTACATACTTCTTTACATAAAAAAAAAAAATTATTTAACATCTCAGGTATTTACAAAGCAAGCTGTACCAATGCTCTGTCCCATTTATAGCCCTCTGGATAGGAGGCCTTCTAGACATTGCAGAAACTTTATGACAGCTTTCAACTAATCCTGGTTCTAGCAAGGAACAACATTCCAGAGAGGACCCATCTCACTTTACTGCCCTGCAGAACAAATAGGGGAAGATGGAGGTTTGGGAACTGTGCATTCACCACCCTCCCAATAAACCAAAACAAAAACTATAGAACAGTTCAGCAAAGACTGTCTAATGACTTTGCACAGCTTATTAGCGCTCCCACTCTAACCTAGAATATGTAAGTATATACTTGCAACATGCTGTTCTTTCTAAAAGCAAGGTGGATTTTATGTATGACAGACTCACATGGGACTGCCTACCAAGCATGTTGGACCATCCTTGTACGGCAGTGGTTTGTGGGCACAGCAGATGGCATTCCTAGATACCATGTTATTGGAGAAATTGTACTTTAGTAAAAGACTTGAAAGGAAACCTCTTGCATACAGCAGATATGCAGAAAGTACAGTAAGTCTAAAGGAAGCCAAAAGTATTGCTTTCCACTATGTGTGTTATGTCACATTCCAAGAGCTATTGGTCATAACAGGATGTGTGACTTGAGATAGTGTTAACAGTAGGTTTACAAAGCCCACAATCAGTTTTATATGTGTCTAAGGCGACCAGCAGGAGTTGAGAACATTTGTGCTTCTCACAAGAATTGCTTCAATCTGCATTGCAAAACCCATCATGTTTGTTAGTGCTGTCACATTCAGTCTATTATAAAAGAGCTGACCTGGATATTTAATTTAACCTCTTGAGACTTCTTCTGCCATTGAGCTGCCTCCCATCATCAATGATCTTAATCCTAATTCTGTTCAACTGGGCAGAATTCCTCTGTAACTTATTTCAGCCTATAGAATTATATTTTATGTATCATGATCAAAGACATTGCCCTAGGCTATGAATTTTTTACCTTTATATTGGAAAGCAGAGCGCTTGCCTAGGATAGAGAAAGGGAACCAGATAGGCATCTTGCCTTTCGCTTAAACTGAAGTCTACTGTTACAATAAACCTTTTTGCTGAGCAAGCAGTAAACATGATTGTCAAAGTTTTATACAAGTTTTACTAAATGGTTATAAAAAAAAAATTTAACTAAAAGGACACCTTTGACTGCATTTGGCTGTAGGGTTCTAATGCTAATGATGATGACAAACTGCAGAAACCATTCAGGAATACTGTAATTTGGAGGCCAAGCCAGTCAGAGTGGCAAAACATAGTTAGCTTTCAGTGCATCCATCCTGCCCGCTTGCTTCTTTCCGTGGAGTTATTCAGTTCATGTGCTTTAGTGACTAAGCAGCTTGCTGGTTCAAGCCTTGCAACACGTAATGGGTGCACTGTCATCACCCTAGGAATAACAGACCAATACTACCGTTGCAGGCTTGCATTAGGCATATTGGGGGCGGGGGGGAGAACATAATTTTAAGTAGGCTAACAACAGGAAATTTTAAGTAAGCAATATACAAACCTTTCTCCCTGTACTTCAAATCTTTCATTTATATGCTTACTGAAAGTAAACCAAAGCTGTGTAGACTGCATCTTCTCTGAGGGATTGAGCTGTGGTTCTGGACAGACCTCACATCTCTTAGGAGCTAAGTTGTTCTGTTTCTAACAGGACTTGTGCCTTTACATTTCTCTCTTGTGGCAAAAATAATAATAATAAAAAAAAATCATCCTGCTAAAAGCACCCTGATCTCTACAACACCCAACTTGCACATATTAGCCACTACTTAACTTCGGTGTCTCTTTGATGTTCCATACAGCAGCTCCAATGTACTCAGCAGGGTGGTTTTTCGGTAGCCACTGCAGAGTGCTTTGCGACACATCAAAAAGAGCTTCCTTGGCTTTTTATCTCCCAAGTCACTTGTTCCTGTTAAATAGAAGCTGGATTTCACATGAGGGCACATCAGGAAAAGAGGAGGCAGGGTGGGCTTTTTGTGGGGGGTTTTTTTGGTTGCTTGCTTGTTCTGTTTTTCCTTAGGAGTGGTCTACACTTTGTTTATGTAGCTGCCTGTATTGAAGTATTTCACGTGAATACATTTACTGTAACGTCTATGTGTGCTCTACATGATTTAGAATAGAGGAAAAACATTGTCTCACTGTGAACATCTTCCTTCCTCTATCCCAAAATCCTCAATGGGAATAGAAGGCATTTGGGCCCACTAACTGATAAATGAAAGATACAGAACTAGTTAATTTAAATGACAGCAACACAAGCACCTCCAACATCAGTTGGAAGCACAAGGATGTTGATCTCAATTTTGTGTTTAGGCAGAAACACTTGTGGTAAACTGTAATTCCCAAGTTAAACCCAGGGAGCTGACCTGGGTGCCATGCAACACTGAGTCTATGCAGAGAAAAACCATAACCAACAGTTTTCATTAAGAATAGAAACTGTGTGTTTTGGTAGAAGAAAAACACCAAAACAACACAACTGTTTCTTTGAGCAATGAGAAAGTATCCGTTACCTTAGAATTTTTTATGTGACGGACCTAATTCAAAGCTCATTGAATCCATTTGGAAAACATTTAAAAAAAAAAAAAAAAAAAAATCAAAAATCTCACCACAGTGAGCTTTAGAAGGCCAAAGTAACTTGGGGACGGCGGGGTGGGGCGTGGTATGCGTTTAGGATAAGGGAACAAACAGCACATAATAAAGCTTTGACTAATTTTCCATCCTAGTTTCTCCAAATTTCCTGTATGTCAAGCAGTTTTATTGCTTACAGATAGCTTAGAGTTTATGCTCCCACCAGCCACCCAAATTTAACTACTGTTATTAATATGAATGTCAGCAATAGTTATCCAGCAGTGGGAAAATACAGTTCACTCAGCATTTTGTTATGGAGATATATTAAAATACCTACTTTACTTGACAGACAGGCATACAGTAATCAGTGAAAATTGTATCTAGACTGCACGTAGGCCTACCAAGGAGGATTTATGAGAGCCTCATGTTTTGAATTTTGTGGATTATTCTAGAAATGGTCTCTCTCTTACCCAAAGCCATATTTCAAACTTAGAGCTTTCAAACCTAATTCTGTATTTCATTAGCCAGGTCCAAAAAATGTTTTTGAGAAGTCACTTCTCAGAGAAAGTATTCACTAAGTATTACTGGTAGGATAGAAGGAGGGGAGACCCCCAGTCACCTGTTGGAGCGAAGCAGAACCTGTACTGACTGGCATGAGCTACCCTTGTCTGAGAAACAGCCTTTTCTGAAAAAGCAAACTCAGCATTTCTATGGGATTTATGCCAATGTCCTTGTGATTATAATGGACATCTATCACAGTTATGACTTTCTAATGCAAAGTATAACACAGACTTGAACAAAACTGATGAGGTGGTTCTTTTGTATGGTGTTGGGTGGGTTTTTGTTTGGTTTTTTTTTTGTTTGGTTTTTTTTTGGGTTGTTTTTGTTGGTTTTTGGTGTTGTGTTTTTTTTTTCCAGCAACTATTTTTTTCCCCATTGTACAAATAAGTAATTTAAATGTAGCTGCTCTTTCCATACTTCAGCTGTATAATCTGTACTGATTTACACTCCATTCTTTGATTTGCAGCTTAAGCCAGTAATTCTCTACTACACAAGTCCTAGATACTCTAGAGAAAGTCAGACTTCCAGACTTCTGTGCAAATTACTCTACTTTGTGTCTTGGAAAAAACTTCCCAGACACTAATGCGTACAAGTTATCTATTATCTTTATTAGACAGGAAAGAGGGTTAAAAAAGCAACTGAAACCAGAATTAAAGGGAAAAAAAATGTAATTTATGTCACCTACACGATGATGTCATTTTAATTTAGGTCTATAGTTAACTGTCTGATAGCCCCAATGATTTAAGATTTACTACAACTCAACAGTGAAGGTAGGGAGGGCTTTAATATGGCAGTATTAAGATAAGAATTGAACAGTCAATACTGAGGATTAGCAATATAAGATTATAAAAAACACTTCATTTCAGAATTCACAGAATAAACAATTTTTTGCATTTTATCCTACATAGAGGACACCCCCAGCCAAGGCACTGGTCCTCTTTTGCCTCTTTTTGACGTTTCAGAGGTGCAGCAGAGCCACTAAGATAGGTAACTGAAGCAAACAGGAAAGCTTTTGGCTCACGGTTAAAAAGTATGGCTAGAAACACAGCTCGGTTCTAGAAACCCCGTTTGCTGAAATGGTAAGCAGGCAGTTGAGGCTATTCTAAATTGCATCAGAGATTAAACCAGCCTGTGACAAAGGGAACCTTCGCTCCAAATCCAACCTAGTGCTTATCTTGTCTCTAGCTGAAACATTTTCACTTTAGCAGATGGACATTGGAATGTTCTGTAATCTATATTACCACAAAGTAGCAATGCAACAAGTTCACAATGTTTAATCCAAACATGTCTCTTCCCCCCCATCTTTACAGGGAGGTCCAATCCAGAACCGAAAGTCCAAGCGTTGCCTGGAACTGCAGGAAAACAATGAGAATGAATTTGGATTTCAACTCGTCCTTCAGAAATGCACCGGACAACGCTGGTCTATAACAAATGTCCTGAAAAGCTTGTCCTCATAGCAGACTAACTTTTTTACCCATTTCTTTTGCTACTGTGTAGCAAATATTGCGTTGTTGCCTGCTGTACTGTATTCCTCTTGGCCACCCCTCGGTTCCTTCTCTCCTCTTTTTTGTCCCTTTGATTTTATTTTGTGAGTGTGTGGAAACTGGGTTTGTGGGCTGAAAATAAGATGTTTTTATTTCACAATGATGTTTTCATGGCATTTATAGAGACATTGAATGACAGGTGATGGGTAGGCTATCTTAAAATATTTTACAACTGTAAATAGGAAACAAATGGAGAATATTTATAACTCGAACTTTTATTGAATAAAAAAGTCCAAACACTATTACTGTCTACCTATCTCCATGGAAATCCATTTGGAAGTTGGGTGGTGGTTTCGTTGTTTTCATTAACCCAAGCCTGATCTCAGGAAGTTGTTGCCGAATTCTCCAGATTTGTGGTGAAAAGTCCTGCCTGTGCACTAGTAACTACAGTGAGGGAGGATCTTCTCCTTTTTTTCCCCTTAGGGAAATCTGTCTAGGTCACTGTAGTTACTAGAGTGCAAATATGGGGGGAGATGTGGTGTGTGGAAGTGTATAGGTATCTAATATACATCCACCTACTTTTCCTCACCAGTACTACTAAAGAAAACCACAGAGAACCCCAGGGCTCAAGTGAGAGAGGGAAGAGAGTTAATTAAAAAGAAGAAGGGAAAAAAAAAAACCTACAAGAGAAAAGTAGCAGCTACTGGAAGAAAAATACAACCCCCCTGCCCCAACATTTCTCAATGGTTTGGCCTCTGTTTCAATGACTGCACTTCCCCTCCAGTTGTTCATAGTTCTTACAACTTCTTTTTTCAAGTGCACTGTTCCCTGGCTACCGCAGACTTGGATAAAAATGGTTCCACCTAAGAGCAACAGCAAGAAGGATGAATTCACTCTGCCTTTCTCCCTGCCTTTAAGGAGGTGTGAATGCAATGCCATATTACTTCATCTCAGCTAAGACCAGGATGAGGAGAGGACGAAACAGTCTGATGAGGTAAACCAGAACACTAGGATTACTGGCCTCTATTTCCAGCTGCTTTTATTTGTATGTAAATTCCCTCCCTTTTATGCTCTCTTTGTTCTTTTCATTCTGTTGTTTGTACCTTAAGTAACATAATAACCTCTTTTGGAGCTGGTTATGTGCCAAACTGTCTTTTGTGGACTGGCTTCACATTCAGGACCAGCTAGCAGTATTGTTTCTTATGATTGTTTAATAAGTCATGCAGCACGTTAATTATATGTGTTCAACCTTCTGCTATATATAGTTACCATACATCTGCTGCTCAGAGAAGAAACCGCTGAGCCAGCAACAGCAAAACAGTAACAGCCAATAAAGACAGGCTTCGCACCTGCACTTTGACCGACTTCAGAGGTCCCTCAGGCCTGTTTGAGTGAAAACTCCCATTAAAATTAGAACCCTGAAAGAGCATCAACAAGCTGAGTGTGAGAGTACCACAGCTAGACAAGATAAAGCAGCGTTAATTTCACCCTACGGAGAAAACAAGAGGTTACTACACAAGCGAACCAAGGCCCCTGCACACTGGAGCATGTGCAGTGTCCCAGCAGGAGAAGGCTCAGCAGACGGCACGCAGAGCCATTTTCAGCATTCCCAAGTTCCACCACTGACCAACTGGACTTATTTTTCACAGGCAGTCCAGATGAATGAGGAAACTGCATGTTCGGACAGAGGAAAAAGAACAGAACTCGTACAGAGTAGCATGAGATAAACTAAGCTTCCTTTTAGCAAAGATACCAAGACTTCAGTGCATAGAGATGCAGCCATAAGGGAAAAACAAGTAGTATGGGTCAAACCAGTCTCCTCTTGATTCTTACAGGCCTACTGCACTCCGAGCAGTTGCTTTCCAATTTGGTGGTTTGTTTTTTGATTTTGTTGGGTAGGCTTTTTTTTTCTTGGGGG